ACGACCACTCTTCAGGTCCTTACACTTCAACAGTAGTTTCACTAGAACAACATCACTGACCTTCATGTTTGTTTTTACTGTTTGTTCTATTGTTTCTTCTGTGTTTGTACTGTGCCTTTACCATTTTTACCCTTCCGCCATTAAAGACTTATCAGGTATTATCGTCACCCTCCCGGGGACGTGGCATGAACACCTAAGTTTGTGAGTGTGATAACTCGAGAACAAGATGACATAAGAGTTTCAAATTGGTCCCATAGGTGTATCTACTAAAAATCTCAGACGAGATCAAGCTGACTAACCTCGGCCTTTTTGCCAAGGTCAGAGGTCAAGTTTTCTAAAACTCTTGCAATGCAATAACTGAAGAAGGTTACCTAGGGTTTTCAAATTGGACCATAGGTTTTCAAACATAGGTTTATACTAAAAATCTTGGATAAGTTTGAATCTGACTGACCTCAATCTCAAGGTCAGAGCAAGTTTTCTGAAAATCGTGTTAATCTTATAACTTGACAACACGGTGATGTTGGGTTTTGAAATTGATAGCAGAGGTGTGTCTGCTAGGAGGCAGCACTGATTCTCTCACTGTGTTTCTGCTGTTTTAATCATTGTGGCTGTGCTTCATCTTCAGGGAGGTGTTTAACTTTGAGAAGTTTCGTGATGAAGCTCTTCGAGTGTTTCTGGCTCATCGAGCGGGGATGCACCCGGTCACCTCCGGACTCGTCTCGAAGGACCTGAAGGTGGACGTCAGCAACGCCGCCAGTCAGTGACAGTAGAAACGAGTCCAGAACCAGTCAGAGACCAGTACTGATCAACTTCAGCGCCAAAGCAATATTATATCACAGCTGTTGTTTCTTGGCTGGTTCTCTCTGATTAAAGTTTAATTGAATCCTCTTTTTCCTTTTTATTCCTTTTAAATATTTCGTCTTCAGCAAAAAAACAAGACGATTTTATAAAGAAATAAACTCTGAGTAAACTTTGGATTCTTGTTGTTCATTCAGATCTCAGCTGGGGTCACACAGGTCATGTGTGATCGTGTGCTGTTTGTAGTTTCAGTGCTTACATTTTCACTTTATTCTAATTACACAAGTAGAAAATCACTGGGATTTTTATTATTTTAGGCATAAAAGGTATGAATGTCTGAAATACTTAAAAGCAGGTCTTAAGTGTTGCTTTAAGCCTTCATGGAGGATGATTTGTGTTTCACAGTGAGCTTAGCGCCCCTCACACTGACATGTGTCAGTATTCACACTGATGCAAAAAGAAGACCTGCAGTAACTGGCCAGAGAACATACAGGAACAAAGAGCTAATGTTACTGTAGCTCATCCACACACAACAAATCAGTCATCTGGAATTATACTTTTAAGGTCACCTAATCTGGTGATCAGTGTATTTCAATATCATGAAAAATTACCTCAAATATTTGAATGAAATCTCTAAAACAAAGTGTGCTGTTTCTGACTACTCCAAGCGTCAGGACGTAGCTTGTTAACTTATTTAAATGTTCATTCAGATCCAAAAAGTCTCTGTTTACTCGCCTCTACCTGACATCCAGACTCACTTTGGGTGTAAAAGCCACCTGTTCTGAACTCAGAGTGATGGAAACCTTAAGATAAAGGAAACATAACCATCACAGTGCTGTGCTGTCTTCACTGCTTTTAATTCTTTTGGCACTGAAAAGTAATTACCTTCAAATGACGACTTTAATGTTTGTAAAGCTGCAGTGTCAGACCCGAACATGAAGAAGGTTCACGTGTTGCAATAGAAAGCTCAGAGCTTACCTAACACCACTGAACAGACAGTTTGAGGAAGAAAACAAAAGAATGACAACATTCAGAGGTCAGAGCCTGTAATTCACTTCCTCTTTCAGTTGGAGCATTAACAGGACAAACGTTTCACCATCATGTGTTGGGTAGTGTGAAGCCACAGAAATAGTTACACAAGCATGCAGAGGAAGAGGAGCCGGAGCACCACTGAGAGACAAAATATTTTAAATTAAATTAAATTAAAATTTTTTATTTTAAATTAAAGGTCAGGTGATTTCTTTTTTACTCTTCTGTGACTGAAGCTTCCAGATCTTTCTCTCACTGTGCATTGAATACAAAGCTGTAGAGGAGTCACAACTTATGTTCAACAATCAAATTTTATAAGGGAGGAATAGTTCATCGATCTTCTCAAAAAAGCTTAATGTGTTTGTATTTAATCATAATAATAAAATGTAATTTCTGAGCAGAAAATGAGCCAGAATGTCAGAAATGAGAGGTTTATTTCACAGCACAGAGTTACAGTAATAACCATCATCACCGCATGAACACATGTTATCGATAAGGTGGCAGGTAAGGCACACAGGTGATCTGATGGCACAATCAGTAATCAATTAAATAAAAATGTCATTGAGGCTGGGTCACATGGTTCATCAGATGTTTTAAAACATTTTTTTTATTAAATATTAAAGTTTTTGTTAAAAAAAACAACTTTTGTGTCAAAAACCACATCCACCAACCCCACCAGGTCCCAGCCATCATCAGGAGTCACCAGAGATACTAAAGGACCACAAAGGCTCTGTTTGTGAAATGCTCAAACATCTTTAGTGAGTGTTAGCTTATTTTAAGAGTGCCTAAACTTTATAAAAGAGTTTTAAAAACAGTGATATGAGACCAGAGGGTTCGGCCTCAAAGGATTTAAATACACTGTTTTAAATGTTTTAATATCAGTTTTAATATCTAAAATATTAGGAATGGGTCCAGTTCTTGTATACAACTGGTTTCTAGTAGAATTAATTTGATTCATTAGTCTACCTGCCTATTGAGCCCACTTTTGAGTTCTTGAATTCTTGCAGTCTAGTTTTTATATTTTACTCCTGACTGCTGGGGTGGAGCCTCCACAATTTTGTTGTGCATGTACAATGACAGTAAAGGGCTATTCTATTCTACTGTATTCAAACATTTGACACACAGCATGTAATTAATTAACCAGCATCTGAGACTGTAAACTCCTCAGGAAAGAGTTTACTGAGCTCAGATCAGAGGAGTTTACCCCTGTTGTCAGTAGAAAGAATGGAGTTTTAAGATAGCTCAGCACTGAGAGCTGAAGTCCACCTTTGTGCTCTCTCTCTCTCGAGTAGTTACAGATATTTAAACTCTGCACCAGGACAAGCTGCACAAACACCTCTTCATTTAGATTAGCTTACTTTTACTCCAGGTAGCAACACAGCTAGTGGGTTATGGTAGCTGGTTAGCAGTAGCAGTAGCATGGTATTGGCTAGCAGCCATGTCAGTTTTCCATCACTATAGCTAATACAGGCTGTTAGCATTAGTACTAACTCCTGCAGTCAGAAAAGTGGAGGTTTTTCCCATCTTCTCTGGGGTGAATGACATCATCACACATGATTGGATGGTTCAGTTCAGACCATCCTGTATCTGTTTGGGTTCTGCTAGATTTAATCCATCAAGCTGCTCTCATGACTAACCTCTAAGGAAACATTAGAGGTCAGCTGATTTCAGACTAAGACATCCTGTTTCTGCTCGTTTTTATGAATCAGTTTTAAAACGTTAATAAATGTAATTGTTTCTCTCCATCTGGACTGTTTACCTGCACTAAACCAGACTCTCCTCAGGTCAACTCGACAGTTTGCAGTTTTAAACATATCATCCCTGCCTGCGTCCAGGTGGGTTTAAAGACCTCTGACAGGTGAGACAGAAAGTCTGACCACCTCAGGTCCAGGTGAGTCCCAGTCCTCCAGACACCATCAGCTGCTCCAGGTCCCTGTCTTCCTGTCGCTCCTGCAGTCTCTGCTCTTCCAGCAGGGACACCAGAGAGTCTCTCTGCTCAACCACCTCCAGCATCTCCTCCAGGATCAGACGCTCCTCAGCCAGCTGCTCCTCGTCCTTCAGGTGGTCTGCATGCGCGTGGGCACACACACACACACACACAGGTGATCATCACACAGAAACACACAGGTGAGCAGGTGAGCTCTGATCTTGTCTGTGTTACCGTCCACAGCCATCCTCTCTCGGAGCTCTTGCTGCAGGCGACTCTGCCGGTCCTCCAGCTCCAGCTCTCGAGCGCTGAAACACAGCCAGAACCATCACACCCCAGGAATCTGCCCAGGTGAGAGGTCAAAGGTCACATACTCACAAGATCATGAGCTCAGCTTCATATCGGACCAGAACGTTCTTCTGCTGGACCAGCTGGAACCACTGCTGCATCAGCGGCGGATTATCCAGTTTCCCGAGCCCTACACAGAAAACCGGGTTCAGCGCCGCATAATACCTGCTGTATATGTACTCCACAGGTAACCGGATATGTGAACTGACCTCCCAGGTGAAGCTCCATGTCTGCGCTTTGGCTGGATTCTCCCCAGTAATCTAACAGAAACACAAGCACAGGTGGATTCAAGTAGAAGCACACCTGAGTTCAGGTAGAACCAAGTAAGTTCAGGTATTCCTTTGGCCTGTATTTTCAGTACCTGCTTCTCCCCTCAGAGCTTTCTCCACCATCACTCCTCTCTCCTCCAGCTGCCTCTGTTTCTCTTCCACCTGCTGCAGCTGCCTCTGGATCATCTAAGACACAGAACGCAACATCAGGTAATCTCACCTGAACTCAGGTAACCTCAACTGTACACAGGTAACCTCACCTGGGCCTTGTGGAGTCTTTTCAGTTCTTCCTGTTTGGCCTGTCTCCTTGCGGCTCTCTGAACCCGTCGCGTGATTCTGGTGTCCAGGTCATTGTCGTCATCCTCATGCTCCCTCTGGAACATGGTTTCCTTCACGCTCAAACTGGATGCCTCCTTCGGCTGGACCAGGACCCCCACCACCTCCGTGGGGCAGGAAGACTGGCCATCAGAGTCCTGTAGCGGGACTCTGTCTTTCAGGGGGCGTCTCTGAAACAGCAGTGCGTAAGCATCAGGACAGGAAGTGAAACTGCTGGACCACCACAACCCTCAGAGGATCAGGTGTGTGTACCTTGATGGCGTATGATCGTTTGAAAGCCAGAGCGTGAGGAACGTATGGCGGCTGATTGCAGGAAGAAGAAACACGGAGGACAGAAAACAGTCAAACTGATAGACGAGACGTGAATCTACGTCCATTTAAGTCTCGGATAGTTTCAACAAGTCGGTATGTCAGTCGAGTTTAAAGTCAGTCTGGTCATTGTGTGTCAGGTGATACCTCCTGGTTCTCCTCCTCCTCGATGGCAACCCTCTGAATTTCATTGGTCAGGTCAAGCAACTCCAAACGCAGCTGCAAAAGAAGACTTCAGGTGAGAGACCCAGTCTAGGTGTTTGTCTGACCCATATCCCTATCCCTTAGTGAGTCTGGGTATGATTTAGGTCTCAGATTGGTTGGAATAATGCTGAACTCTGATTGGTCGGAGTGCTTACGTTGTTTTGGGGCTTCAGGGAACATCTCTGCAACACGGTGGATGATTCAAGATCTGACACCTCTGCTCTCACATCTGGACAAAGAAGGTACAGCTATTACATCATCACAGTGACATCACACTGACTAAAGGTGTTGTTATTATGGCCACCTGTGAATCTCTGACTGGCTGTTTTCTCCTTCACCCTCTCTGCAGGTAAAGTCCCACCCCCCTTCTTCTTCTGCTCATTCTTGTTTCCAGAAAACACAGTCTTTAATAGATTTCTGGCTCCAACCCCTCCCAGCTCCATCTCCCCAGGGGGAGGAGCCTCTCTGAGCATCTTAAAGAGGAGAGCCCTGCCCCCAGGCTGCAGGGGGGGGAAGAGGAGTCTAGGGGGGAGGCTATGAGCTTCTCGCCGTCTCGTCGTCCTCCTCTTCCTCCTAAATGTTCCTGGGTCCTCCTCTGACCCCTCCCCTTTCTCTTGCAGGAGGAGGGGCCTATTTTGCGGTAGTTCAGGTGTGATGTTGTCAAATGAGCCCCGCCCACTGGCAGCAGGTGTCTCCATGACAATGGCAGGTGTGAGTGACACTCTGGCTCCATCCTCAATGTGAGGGGAGTCAGGTGTGGTGATGAAGGAGGCTGTGCTGGCGGTGGTGGCGACAGGGTGTGGAGTCACAGATGAGTTCATGGAAGAGGTGGAGTCAGGCTGAACAGGTGTGTCAGAGCTGTAAGGAGGAAGCTCCGCCTCTGAAGGGAGGAGATAGTGTATGAAGTAATGTGTATATGCACTCTGTACACACACACACACACACACACACACCTTTTAATATTAATGTTAATTATTGATGTTAATGAATGTGAGGCAGCGAGAGTAAAGATTAGAACGACAGCCTTTAGAAGCAGCAGCTGAGCTCACAACGAAAAGGAAGCTGACTTTGAACTTTGTGTCACACATTCATCAGGTCAGTGTTTGAGTTTTAATAACTTCCTGTCCCCGTCCTCTGATCCTCCCATGGAGCGCTGCTGTCCTTTCATTCCATTTTTAATGAAATTAGAATTAAAATTTTGCTGTTGTTACACACACACACACACACACACACACACACAGAGTTAAACATTTATGTTAAACACAGTGGTTATTCTAAAATCTGTGGTTTTATAAAAGGAGTTTGGTTAGCAGGTTCAGGTAGGTGCTACCTGTCTCCTCCTCTAACAGGAGCCATAAGCCCGAGCGGCGCTCCATCTCCCAGGGGTCGTACTCCCCCTCTACCAGCAGGGGGAGACAGACAACAGCACATCTCAAACTCAAGACCCCTACTTCACACCCAAAAACTCACAAAGACTTTAACTCACCATCGCTGGACTCCATGTCACTGCCTTCCTCCTCCTCCTCCTCCTGGACTTTCAGGTAAAGCTGCAGCGTTTCTCTCGATGAAGATCTCGTCTCGTCTGAGGTTACACAGCCTCCTCCCTCTGCCTCCTCCTCCATGTCTGACTCTGAACTGAATACAGGATACATAAAACAGTTGGGATGGAGGACCAACACTGCCAACCAAACAAACTAAAGTGCATTTTATATATATATATAAAAAAAATAGAGCCATAGCTAGATTGATTAAATATTTACAGATTAGACTAGAATTTTTTTTAAAAAGGCAACATTTTAAATTCAAAAGTCAAAACAATTAAAAAAAAATTCCTACAAACATTAAAAATTTTGTGGGGTCTAAATACACAAATATAACATAAATTTTAAAAAAACTTTTATTGTAATCTTTATTTTGATGTAAACATTTAAGTTTCTTTATTAATTCGTACTTTTCACACCACAAAATATTTCATATTGAAGTTTTTAGAGTAAAACGTGAGTGACCTCCAGCTCTTTACATCCAAGACATGTTTACTGTATGGAACGGTGATTCCCATCATTCAGCAGAAAGGCTGAAGCATTATTAAAGCCGAGGCTGTTTTTTTCTACTTCCTGAGGTTTACCGACCTTCTGGACCTGGACCCCGTCTGATTGTCGGTGCTCAGGTTGAATAGGTTCAGGACCTCCTCGGAAACCTCCTCCAGCTCCTCCTGCAGCTCCGCCTCTGAGCTCCGGTGCCAGATTTCCAGCTCGATCCTCTCCGGCGTCGCCGCCATTAGAGAAGCAGCTGCCAACACACCAACGCAGCCACACACACACACAGACACACACAGACACACAGACACACTAAAGCCCACATCGATTCCCGTTTAAGGAGCGCGCTCAGTGTGAACACGTATGGACACTGAAAGCACACACACAGGTGAAGCTAGCTCACCTGAGGATGGTCGGCGGCCTGCTGAAATCAGAGAGTCAGACAGAGATGGCGCCGAGCTCTGGGACCCCTTCAAAGACAAAGATATGCGTTTATTTATTAGTCCTGTAATTATTCCAACTCTAAAACTCAAAAGTTTTCAGTAACTCTGATTCTAAATTAAATTTACAAAAAGAGTTTTTTGTCACATTCATTTTCTAAAATGAGTTTAGCAGATGAACTTTATTAAATCGTTATCAGAATCATTATCTTTATTTTTCAAAGGCGAAATATTTGCTATTTAGGATTTAAAGGTTGAAAAAAACTTATACAGGTGATTGAAGAAAGGTCTAGTTTTCCTTGTGTCATTATTTCTTCTGTTAATGTGTGTTTTTATTATTTTTGAACTCAACATTTCTGGCATGATCGATCTTCCGTACTGACTCGCTAAACAGTGATGATCCTGAACAGCTTGCCTGCCGTGAACAGAAACACCTGAACTGATCGGTTCCACAGGCAGGTAGCTGCTCCTGTCAGCACTCCATTCAAGGTCCAGCCACACAACACCACCACCACCACCACCCTGATCTCCAACTAAAATTACCACCTGAAGAGCATCTGATCACCTGTTCTACCTTCCACGGCTTGAACTAATAAATTGCCCACACCTGCAGGTCAGGTGCACACAGATAATATCACAATGAAAGTAAAAGTGGTTCTTACGATTGACGTTCGGTGTGACACAGCTCTGTCAGATGGCGTCGGCCTCTTCCTCACGGCTTGAGCACTTAGGTGACATTCGGAGCGCTGCAGGCAGTAAAACCTCCCTGAGACACAGAGGACGACAGACAGGATGTCAGGACAGGTGTGTGTCTCTCACACACAAGTATCTCACACAGACAGATGTGGAGGGTATTCTGCAGCCCTCGTCTCTGAAGGCTTCCCAAAATTCATATTTTTATAGCAACCTTCACACCGACTCCCGCCTCGACTTTAAACTCATCAGTCATGTGACCACTGTGTTCTCATTGGCTGCTGAGCTGCAGAATTCAGCTGTCAGACCCACAATAGACACTTTGTGTGGTTAAAAATGTGGTGTGGAAATGCGTGGCGGCGAGGCTCAGGGCTCCCATGGCGTCCTGAACTGAGCTTGCCGATCACATGACACCACCACCTGACAGTAATCAGAGTACTGCAGTGATGGGCAGAAAAATCAGAGTGAGTCTGCAGGGCAGGTTGTGTGTTGCTGGGGTCAAACATTTTCTCCCCACTCATGAATCGGCAGACCTGAGACTCAGACACTAATCAGATTGTTTTTTGATACACGATTATGAGTCTGCTAACGAGTTACAGATGTACGGAGGTGAGTGTGGACCTATGTCTCTGAAGGTTTCTGTTTCTTTTTCATTTATGAAATCTATCTTGCAAATAAAATGACTTCAAACTACCGGTGGCCTGACGCACAGCAGGGGGTCTGGGCTTCATCAGCTGTTCATTAGCCGGTCCACTCAGGGTGGACCGGCTAATGGGTCCAAGTAAGTAGTCCACATGAAAACACATTCAGACTGTGAGAGCAGAACTTGAGCTCATGGTAGGGTTACAGATCTTCATCAGGAGGCCAGATCTGGCCCACAGGCCAGTGTTTGAGGCCGTTTCCATTTTTATCCCCAAAGACCCAAAGATACCGCGGAGACTGACACAGGTCCCCCCCCCACACATTAACGCTCTTCAAAAACAAGCAAATTTATCTGCAAATGAGGCCGTTTTGTCTTTTCTTCTCTGGTTTCTGATTGGATCTTTTAATTTGATGTCACACTGCTCCCTGTTTTTGTTGCTAATTGTCTAGTAAAGCTACAGATTCGGCTGTGAACTTTATTTATCTGTGCGGTGGACACAGAGAGGCTTTATCCTCCACTTAGTCATGAGTAGGGCTGCCACGATTAGTCGACTAGTCACGATTA